AAATCTTCAAGCCCCGTCCGAGAACCACCCTACATACCTCAGTTATTACCTTCCGGGTGATATCCTTATGGAATGACCTTACAGAAGAGATAGTCGGCGCCACCAGCAAGGTGGTCTTTAAACTTCGTCTTGACCGCCACTTAGGTTTATCTACTCCTCCCCAATAAAAAGAAAAAAAAACATTTTGAATTATATGAGTTCGCAAGTCTTCATTTTATTTCTCTCCTCGAGCGGGGAACCATACTAATCCCTCTTCAGTACTCTCTGTTCTAGAGGTAATTCAAACCAAAAGAAAACACAGATACCTTTCAAGGACCCGGGACATTTGGGCAACAACCTCGAACCCGTGAATCACTTCAAGACTTCAAGACAACCAGAAGTAGGACACCCATGATTCCGAGGCCTCAACATCCTGATAATTGGATTGGATTGGAGTGAAGAGTGACCCTAACTGAAATTGACTGTTTTACAGAATCGGATAACATGTATTTGAAAAGGCGCCTCCCCGACTTTCAAGGACGAGCCTTAAAAATGAGCTCGCCTGGGCATATCTAGTCCATTTCCTTTGGTTACTCTAACAACGTAGAATGGTCCCGAAGTCTTCACTTCATCTGTGTTGCAGGTAGGTTTCATTTTTATTTTCCATTTTTCCCTCAGAACTCTCAGAGATGTGTTCGACAGTTTGGCCGTTTTTGGAAAGCTCTCTGTTAATGGCTTCAGAACTGCTTGTGAACAATTGGACGTGAAGATTTCACCTGATGGATGTAAGATAACTCGTTTATTCCTTATGTAGGATTCAGGTATCTCGTTGTTCGAGGAGTGGCTTGGGTCTTGTGACAAGAATATAGTTTTTTATGAATTCTGTTTTATCATTGCCTGTTATTTAATCAATGAGCGAACAACGGTGAACATATCAAATTTCAATTATGAAGGTAATTTTCGAAATTTGAAGTGAGCTCCTTAGTCTTCCTGGGTGGTGCTTGTAATCCTACCACTTGGCGGATTGATTCTGCCATCCCGTTTTTGGAAAGTGCCGGAATTTCCTATTACAATCCCGTAAGTACCTACATTGATCCATTTTGTTGCGGTAATTTCTGCTTATACCTTGAGAAGTGCTTGACATTTTTGTAAATGCAGTGGCTCATTCATCGTTTGGAATATTTTTAACAATTGTTAACACCTGTATGAATACTGACCACCAGTCGACTGGCTTCTGCTCTAGAACCTGGATCTTGACCAGCAATGAAACAGCATACTATATATATATATTTATATACATGAGGTACATATAGTATCCTAAATAACCGCAATTCTATTGAAACTCTTCAGTCATGCGTGGATGCGTTACATTCCATTAGGTACAATGACAGCTGTTGCAACTGAGAAAGAACTGAGTAGATCTCGGCATATGTTCGTTTATTTCAACGTTGTTTGAGCTAATAACCAGCTGGGAGAAAACATCCTTGAAGATTTAATCTTCACAGTCAATTATTTCTCTTCGGCTAAGCTTTAAATGGATAATTGATACTTATTGATAACATTTCCATGGATGCTATTAGTTTTGATCACATTTGGCGTCATTGTCGTTTGACTGTGCAGACAAACAACAAGTACCTCATTAGTCATGCTCCTGCGTTGGATCCACATCTCTGCCTTGTGGGTGAGACTTTTTAATCAAAAGCTCCGGTCAGGGTTCCCCAAGAAGAAAACCCTCTCATCGATGTGGGCTATCGCGAATGATGTCGTGCCTTGAATTCTCATCCACTCATTTAGATAAACCTCTCTCATGTATCTTCGCGTAGATATATTTAGTATCTAACAGTATACCAAAAAGTATTTTCATATGGAAGGTTTGGTGTCCTCGTTTGTATCACTGCATTACAACTGGCTACAATATATATCAACCTCCTGAATAATCTCTTCGTCGGTACATCCGAGATTTTCATTTGACCTCTCTTTTTTCTTTATTGACCAGTGAGATGGATAATCAAAGAAGCAATATAGATATCAGCGTAAAAGTTGTTGATTGTACATGCGAAGTTGATCCGTAACCACCTTAACTGTGATCACTTCCCTTCTACGAAAAATAACCGGTTCCTTGATTGGCCACGTCTATAAAATAATTGTTTGTTCCTAATTCACATATGCTTCAAGTAGGGGTAAATTTGGTTATCAATTTTGAGAGTTCAAGATCCCAATAACCACCTTCGGTTTGCGTATAGACCAAATAGATGTAGTTTGAACGCTCTCCACTGATGTACTTTATGTGCAGATGTTTAGATGATTATCAGAATTTCGTTCGTTGCGTTCGCTTTGATCGTTCTTCCACTTTTGATTCCGTTCCACAATCTCTTCTCCGAAAATTACTGTCAATCGATTGCTCTACCACTTTATTGTCCTGGTTGAAAGACTATTTCACAGGAGGGATTCAAAGAACAAAAGTAGATGACAGTTTCAAAACCGTTAGTGAATAATTCTGGAGTCCTTCAAAGTGTTGTGCTTTCTCCTTATGTATTTTCAACATTTGTCAGTGACTCAATGTCTATCTCGCCAGCCAAGACCTTTAAAGATGTTGAAATGGTCTTATATCCATCCACCTCAAATTAATCAGACATGAAATTATTTTATGACAGTTTAGTACAAGTGCAAGTATTCTCAAACAAATCTGGTCTCCAGTTGAATGCTTCTAAATATTTCAAATGCGTTTTTAGCCTTTCCCAGTCTGAATATCCCGTTGAACCCTCAATCATCAATTCCATAGTCATTACCAGAACACCTCTAAATATATAAGAGTCACCATAGAGAGCAATGTACTGTGATCCTACCATGTGGTAGTCTGTGTTGCTCATCTTTTTAGATACGCAAGCTACGACGATTGAGAGTGAAGCATTCAACTATATGTTCATTTGTTTATCTGTGCATTTTTCCTAGCAGTTTCATTGTTTGCTCGGTATCTTCCCTGGCTTTGAAAGTATTTTAATACGGTTCGTTGCGGTTTGGTAATTAGTAGCCGTGTTTCTCTTATTCCTATAAACACTAATCACAGTATTGTATGATTTTCATATTACTTCATGTGAGAATTTCGCCCATAAGATGCTTAATGACCACAGTCACCCGCACAATCCCGACATATCCACCCGCCTTTGCCACGCTTCAACCCGATCTCATTATCGCTGCTTGTGCTCCGTCGTAAACATTTATCGCTGCTCAACACTACCCTATTTGGCTCGTATTCTATCTAACGAAACAAAAATCCTTAAAGAAATAGTCCAAAATCTACCAAGATGATCCTTAGGTTACGTTTTATCGCTGTATATGACTTTTTTCATTTTTATCCCATTGTAAAGTTGATTGTTTATCGTCTGAAACAGGTATAGTTGCTTGTACAACTCATTACAATGCAACACAATACAAATTATAATCTCAAATGCAAGGAAATTAAATAGTGCAATATGAATGGAGGAATGAAAAAAGGTAAAGGACGGTTGACGACGGAAACGAAAATTGTGATACTTATTCTTTTCAAATGCTTACTTTTTTGCACAGTCTTCGGTTGTAACCGTACAAAGCTTCATTGGTCAGGTGATTTCTTGAATCTATTTACATTCTAGCAAGTCTCCTCATGGTCCCCCGAACTGGTTGAAATCGAGGCTAAGGCCAAAGCTTCATCCTATCTGTTACTGTATGTGTTCGAGGCGTGGAAAACACGAGCGGTATCTAGCTTTGTCGAAGTGGCTTATTTAGCCGCACAGAATCGTAATGTCGTGTTGGTCATAACCAGACATCCCAACAGTGATCCCGTCGTGATTGCAGGAGAGCACGTGCTACCTCTGTGAGTACCCATTAAAGTATGCAATATTTTTATTTTTGCTTACTCTTAACGTTGACTGGTGCATTAAATTACAGTTCTATCGGACTCTAACTGAAGTTTATCATAGTCAAAAACGGATACCGAAACAACCAGAACCCGTCCTATGTTCAGTACAACTTTTATCAACGTCATCGTGCTGGTGTTTACAGTCTTTATCTTTAAATATCACTGAGAGCCAAAATTCTGCGAACATTATGCTTCCGATCATGTTGCAGTTACGCTAATGATCTATCCGTGTATTGCTGAGTGTGTTAATCTACTCCGTCATCAGCTAAAAATCTCGTCCTTGAACCTCGAACATCAATTCCACCAGTCCTTCATGAGGCTGCTATTTGAAGGCTTTAAATCCACTCAAACCCACTTGACTCATTTTATCATCATTTTTGGTTGCGAAAGTTTTCACTGCAAACTTACAAGTTTTTGGTCACAGTTCCATTATGCTACTTTTGTTTAACGTAACTCTGAACTGAATGGTCTTCAAGTTATCGATGTGTTGCGGCTTTTCAGAGTTGCATGATAATAATTTGTGAGATGAATATACAAAAACTGAGGTAACAAGTTACGTCCTGTAAGAACACTCATTGACAAAATAAACCGGCGAACACGATTGCTTTTTTTGTTTTCAGGGAGCAAGCTTGTCTTCAACAAGCCACTGATTACATGTGTGCTTTCGCTAGTCGTCTTGGACTTCCCCTGTTCTTTGAACTTTCAGAAGCTCTTGAATATGTAAAAACATCTGTTTTAGAGGTGAGTAATCGATTTCGTTTGTTTGGAATTACAGTCAGTCGAGATTGAGGTCGTGCTTATGAAAAATATTCCACCGAGTTCTTTTCTTGAACTCCATTTTTCCCCGTTCCTCTTCTAAGTAAATGTGGTTTCTTATATTGTCCTGTTTTTAACGTTTATTATACATTTGTGTGATGAAATGTAGACGGGGTAGACCCCATAGTCGCAAAGATCCGATGTTCAGTGATGGAAACCTTCAGCATAATCCCCGGAACTTGAAACGGCAAACTACACAAAGCCTTTTTAGGTTAGGCGCGGTATTGAACCGGACGACGGCAAGACTGCCTACCACCTAAGTTGTTTGGCTGTGGTGGGGTTCGAACCTCGAACGATGGGGTCCAGACACTGCCATTAACAGCGGCTAAACCACTGCACCCTCACCACTATGTGAGAACAATCGCATTTAACTTCTCTATTAGTCAAAAACTGTTTATCAAAGACTTGCATACTTTTCCAAATGTACGTAATAACAACAGAGTAATCTTTGACCTACTTCTTTTGAAAACAAAGGTTTCAAGTTCGACTGGAATTCACGGGTTTTCCAGCTCTAAATCTGACACTAGTAAGAAGCTAAACACAAGCACTAGGTAGCTTGCTAGACAGTTGCCTATGTCCTAGCGGGTGAGTTCTGAATGAGGTTGAACGTTGGTTTATATTTGCTTATATTAATTATCATTTCACCTTCAGTTGGTATCCTCTTGTTCCTCAAGGCTTAATGTCCCAGAAGTCGTACCATCCTTACTCTTCGATACAGGAGCACGGTTGTTGCAGATATCAAATGCAAAATGCTATCGACTTTTAAGGGTCACTTGTCAGACTACCATCCAGAGCGATGGACCAACCAGGTAAACAGTGTGTATCTGAAGGTTAAAGTGTTCAGTAATTGGAGTAGAACACGTTTTGTTGACTTGAATTGGTCGTATTTGGTTGTGCGTGCACCCGTTTAGGTTTTCTTGATACACGCTGTTCGTTTAGAGGATTTTGGTTAACGAAGCAGTCAAAACCGGATAATGCACGCCTTAACGGAAGGCCAAAAGTTTCAACTGTCCGATTGGAGGCGTCAAGTGACATGCTCGTATGTCATGAACAACATTCCCTCCTTCGGTTCCTTTTACCGTCAATA